GAGGGAAGGGCTGGGGAGTGGAGATGTCATGTCTGGGGCAATGGTGTGGTGTGAATTTATGCAGAGAACTCGTAGTTTGGAAGTTAGGAGGAGGTGCGGATTTACCAAAACTGTTGTCCAGAGGGCTGAGGAAGGGTTGTTGGGTGGTTCGGACATGTAGAGAGAATGGAGCGAAACAGATGACTTCAAGAGTGTATCAGTCTGTAGTGGAAGGAAGGCGGGTAGGAGGTCGGCCTAGGAAAGGTTGCAGGAGGGGGTACAGGAGGTTTTGTGTGCGAGGGGCTTGGACTTCCAGCGGGCATGCGTGAGCGTGTTGATAGGAGTGAATGAAGACAAATGGTTTCTAATACTTGACGTGCTGTTGGAGTGTGAGCAAAGTAACATTTATGAAGGGGTTCAGGGAAACCGGCAGGCCGGAGTTGAGTCCTGGAGATGGGAAGTACAGTGCCTGCACTCTGAAGGAGGGGTGTTAATGTTGCAGTTTAAAAACTGTAGTGTAAAGCACCCTTCTGGCAAGACAGTGATGGAGTGAATGATGGTGAAAGTTTTTCTTTTTCGGGCCACCCTGCCTTGGTGGGCCAGCACTTGTGTGTGTGTGCCAGCACTTGTGTGTGTGTGTGCCAGCACTTGTGTGTGTGTGCCAGCACTTGTGTGTGTGTGCCAGCACTTGTGTGTGTGTGCCAGCACTTGTGTGTGTGTGTGCCAGCACTTGTGTGTGTGTCCCAGCACTTGTGTGTGTGTCCCCGCACTTGTTTGTGTGTCCCAGCACTTGTGTGTGTGTGCCAGCACTTGTGTGTGTGTGTGCCAGCACTTGTGTGCGTGCCAGCACTTGTGTGTGTGTGTGCCAGCACTTGTGTGTGTGTGTGTGTGCCAGCTCTTGTTTGCGTGCCTGCACTTGTGTGTGTGTGCCAGCACTAGTGTGTGTGTGTGTATGCCAGCACCTGTGTGTGTGTGTGTGCCAGCATTTGTGTGTGTGCCAGCACTTGTGTGTGTGTGTGTGCCAGTACTTGTGTGTGTGTGCCAGCACTTGTGTGTGTGTGTGCCAGTACTTGTGTGTGTGTGCCAGCACTTGTGTGTGTGCCAGCACTTGTGTGTGTGTGTGCCAGCACTTGTGTGCGTGCCAGCACTTGTGTGTGTGTGTGCCAGCACTTGTGTGTGTGTGTGTGTGCCAGCTCTTGTTTGCGTGCCAGCACTTGTGTGTGTGTGCCAGCACTAGTGTGTGTGTGTGTGGGCCAGCACTTGTGTGTGTGTGTGTGCCAGCACTTGTGTGTGTGCCAGCACTTGTGTGTGTGTGTGTGCCAGTACTTGTATGTGTGTGCCAGCACTTGTGTGTGTGTTTGCCAGCACTTGTGTGTGTGTGCCAGCACTTGTGTGTGTGCCAGCACTTGTGTGTGTGCCAGCACTTGTGTGTGTGTGCCAGCACTTGTGTGTGCGTGCCAGCATTTGTGTGTGTGTTCCAGCACTTGTGTGTGTGTGTGCCAGCACTTGTGTGTGTGTGCCAGCACTTGTGTGTGTGTGTGTGCCAGCACTTGTGTGTGTGTGCCAGCACTAGTGTGTGTGTGTGCCAGCACTTTGTGTGTGTGTGCCAGCATTTGTGTGTGTGTGCCAGCACTTGTGTGTGTGTGCCAGCACTTGTGTGTGTGTGCCAGCACTTGTGTGTGTATGTGCCAGTACTTGTGTGTGTGTGCCAGCACTAGTGTGTGCTCGCTAGTATTTCGGAGTGTATGCCAGCACTTGTGTGTGTGTGCACTTGTGTGTGTGCCAGCACTTGTGTGTGTGTGCACTTGTGTGTGTGCCAGCACTTGTGTGTGTGTGTCAGCACTTGTGTCCGTGTGCCAGCACTTGTGTGTGTGTGTGTCAGCACTTGTGTGTGCGCGCCAGCACTTGTGTGTGCGCGCCAGCACTTGTGTCGTGTGCCAGCACGTGTGTGTGCTTGTGCCAGCACTTGTGTGTGTGTGTGTGTGTGCCAGAAATTGTGAGTGTATGCCAGCACATGTGTATGTGTGTATTGTTGAGTGTATGCCAGCATTTGTGTATGTGTGTATTGTGAGTGTATACCAGCACTTGTGTATGTGTGTATTGTGAGTGTATACCAGCACTTGTGTATAATCGTTTTGTGAGTGTATGCCAGCATTTGTGTATGTGTGTATTGTGAGTGTATACTAGCACTTGTGTATAATCGTATTGTGAGTGTATGCCAGCATTTGTGTATGGGAGTGTTGTGATCGTGTGTGAAAGCGTGTGTACGCATTGTGATCGTGTGTGAAAGCGTGTGTACGCATTGTGATCTTGTGTGAAAGCGTTTGTACGCATTGTGATCGTGTGTGAAAGCGTGTGTAAGCATTGTGATAATTGTCTGTGATTGTTTGTGTGTACGTATGATAATGGTGTAAGTGCGTGCAAGTGCATGTGTGTACGTATTATAATGAGTGTATACATATGCGTACATTGCGTGTGTGCTAGTATTATATATATATCTATATCTATTATATATCTTTATATATATATATTATATATTTATATATATATATATATATATATATAAATATATATTATATAATGCTGGTGTGTGTGAAACACACTGTGTATATACACTGTGTATTACACTGCTACACTATGTTTACAAACACAAAAACGTACACATAGCCGTGTAATTTATTGTACGAGTTGTATAACGTGATGTATATGTGCGTATAAACACATGTGTCTGAATGTTTATATATCTATATATATATTACCACTGATCTCTGTGGCAAAAATCAGACAAATTACGCTGGTTAGGGTTGATAATTTTTTGAGTTCGTTTTGGTTACTAGTGATGCTCTTGTTGTTGTGGAATATTTTAAAAGGATATTTTGGAAAAGACTTATTAGGGAATATTCAAATTTATTTAAAAACAAAAAACACCATAGGAAAAACTTAGACATACTTGAAATATTATGTTACATGAAAATATTGGTTTTTAAATATAGGTTACACAACCACACAAACCACACACCCACACACACCAACACACCCACCCCACACACACACACAACACTACACCTCGAGAATTAACACGGTAACAATGGTTATCCAGTAATTAGGTATGTATGTTCACGAGGTTAAACATTATGGCACTGTAGCCTAGCATCGTTATTTTTCTTGTGCCCTGCACGGAGTTAGCCAGGTGACTCACTGTGTTTTGTGACCAGGGACTGCACTGTGTTTTTGTGTACCGGTAATGCGCTGGGGGTTTTGGTACCCATGACTGCAGCTGTGTTATTGTGTACCCAGGTACGCAGTTTGTTCTGTGTACCAGGTGACTGCAGCTGTGTTTGTTAGCCGGGTTCTGCAGCTGTTTAGTGTACCGGGTGACTGCAGCGTTACGTTCCCCCGGTTACTCAGCTTTTTCCCCTGAAGCCGGGTGACTGCACTGTTATGGTACCGGGTCGCAGCTTTTATTTTAGAGGTGTGCAGTTGTTATGTTACCCAGGTGATTTTCGCTGTTTATTGTAGCCGGTGCTGCGCTGTTTAGTGTACCAGGGGGACTGCGCTGTTTACTTTTGAGCCAGGTGACTGCAGCTGTTATGTGGCCGGGTGACTGCAGCTGTTTTACTGTGACCAGGTGACGCAGCTGTTATGTGTACCCGGGTGACGCAGCTGTTTATTGTGTAGCCAGGTGCTGCAGTTTTGTTATTGTAGCCGGGTACTGAGCTGTTTTTGTGTAGCCAGGTGACCAGCGTTTCTGTGTAGCCGGGTGACGCAGCTTTTTTTATGTGTAGCCAGTGACTCGCTGATTACTGTGTAGCCAGGTACTGCAGCGATTTGTGTCCGGTGACTGCAGTTTAAAACTGTGACCAGGGTGACTGCGTGTTTTTTGTGACCAGGTACTGCACTGTATTACTGTGTACCGGGTGACGACTTATTACTTGTAGCCAGGTACTGCAGCTGTATTATGGGTGCCGGGTGACTGAGCTGATTCTGTTACCCAGGTGCTGCGCCTTATTTGTGTAGCCGGTACTGCAGCGAAATTATGTGTACCGGTGACCAGCTGATTACTGTGTCCAGGTGACTGCGCTGAATTAAATTGTGAGCCAGGGGGCTGCAGCTGATTATGTGACCCAGGTGACTCGTGATTACTGTGTGCCAGGTGACTGCAGCTGTTTTAAATGTGTAGCCGGGTGACGAGCTGTATTATGTGTACCATGACTGCAGTTTTTATGTTACCAGGTGACGAGCTGTATTATGTGTACCAGGTGACGCAGCTGATTTTTGTGTAGCCGGGTGACTGCAGCTGTATTTTGGTACCCAGGTGACTGCACTGTATTACTTGAGCCAGGTGACTCAGCTGATTATTGTGTGGGCCGGGTGATGCAGCTGATTATTGTGTAGCCAGGTGCTCGCTGAATTGTGTGCCGGCCCAGTTTATTTTGGTACCAGGTGACTGCAGCTGTATTATGTTACCAGGACTGAGCTGTATTATTGTGTAGCCGGTGACTGCAGCTGATTTTGTGTAGCCAGTGAGGCAGCTGATTACTGTTAGCCGGGTGACTGCAGCTGATTACTGTGACCGGGGTGACTGCAGTGTATTATTTGTCCAGGTGACTGCAGCGTTTTATTGGTACCCAGGTGACGCAGCTGTTTTATTGTGTAGCCGGTGACTCAGCTGTATTATTGTGTACCAGGTGACTGCAGCTGTATTACGTGTAGCCAGGTGTGCGCTGTTTTATTGTTAGCCAGGTCTGCGCTGAAAATTCTGTGTACCCCATGACTGCAGCTGTATTACTCTCACATTTGGTTTTTTAACTCGGGGTAATTTCAACAAAAATTAAACCCCTAGCCCACCCTTTATGCGGTGTCTATCAAATTAGAAAGTTGATACACACTGACAGTGCACAGTCCTGGCGCACCGCGGTTATTTGTTATTTTCACGGTTTGTTGACACCCAAAAGGGAAAAAGCCCCCCTCATTTCAGGTAAAATTTTCGTGATAACACTTAACACCAATTTTTCCCTGGAAAGCTTTTAATTACATAGTTCGGTTGTAAAGATTAGCGTGTCTTTTTCTGTACCCAAAAGGATTTCGAATGGATCAGGAACAGTTAGAGTGGGTATGTCATGGAACACATCCAGACTGTCCTCCAGCAATCCTGAGTCATCGGATAAAAGCTCCTCAAGGTCGCTGGTGCTGCTGACGGAGCCTCGTACAGTAGAGGGAGAGCTGGAGACTGACATGGGGTCAGAGATTGTGTAATGGGCCACTAGTTGAGGCAGCTGAGGGGCTCCCTGCTGTGTGTATGAGGTCGTTGTGTGTTCGTACTGAAAGCTCATTGTGTTCCCCGAAGCTGGAATTGCCTTCTGTTGGACGTGCTGATGAAGGCTTGGCGTAAAGGAGTGCTGAAAGCAGCTCTGGAGAGAGTTCTGGATGGAACTATGTAAGGAGTTTTCGAAGGAAGTATAATCACTGTCGGTGTCATCAAGAACATCAGAGAGCGCCCTGATGTATTCTACTGCCAGGCGGAGTGTCATGATCTTGGTGATGGTGGCAGAGGTGGTGTGAACCTCCACTGCTTCAGGAAGAACCTTACGCAAGGATTCGAAGGCGTTGTTGATTTCTCTCATGCGATGGCGTTCCCGAGCGTTCGCGGTCTTTCTTCGGTACTTGGATAACGGTGCTGGACGGGATTTGGACTTCGCAGGTCGTTTTGTGACTTCCTGGCGAGTACGTTCTTGCTGGAGACGTTTGATGATGGTCCTGGGTCGTAGAGCGTACTTCTCCTCCCCGTTAAAGTTCCTGCCTAGAGTGCAGTCGTTGTTCCTGTGACCGGTGCTGCTATTGTTGTTGGTATCAGTGGAGGGACTATGGTCCTCAAGTCTCTCCATCTTGTGGATACAGGCGCCCAGCACCGCACACACCACCTGTGATCACTACCGCAACACTCGCACACACCACCTGGGTCACTACTGTACCACCTGGATCAGTACTGCACCACCTGCATCACTACTGCACCACCTGCATCACTACTGCACCACCTGGATCACTACTGCACCTGCATTGAAGTTACTTCACTAGTTTGTTCATTTTAAGACAAATCACATTTAAATGTTTTCTTGTCTTCTGTATATTTCTTAAGCAAGTACAGTACGGCAGACATTACGTATAATTCCTGCAAGTTTGAAGTTACGTTCACTATATTTAATATCGATATTTGTTTTCTAAATAGACAGTATTCAGAGTGATGCAACGAACTGTTGTTGTTATACTTGGTACAGTAACTGTGACTCAGGGTGAGCAAGCAAGGCTGACAGTCTCACCATTGTGGCCCAGTCACGAGACGTACATGTAAATAATCTTCCATATTTGGGCTAGAGCATTGTGTGGAGGTGCACATGTTGTGCTCAGCAGTGTGAGATCTGTGTGTGTGTGCACCGGTGTAGCTTCATCTCGCCAGGTGTGGAGGAGCGAAGTGGGATACCACTGAGTGTTACAGTCGATAAGGAGGGACTGACACCGTGTGTATGGAGCAGCGGGTACGTGTTACCACCTTGGCTGTGTGGGTATCACTGGTATCCAGTTCACCTGCTGCCCAACACCTCCCTCACCAAGTGCCCCGAGCTGTGACGTCACTATTGGCACGATAAAACTTTCACGTCTGCTGACTTTTGTAACGCAAATTTTGCCGACTTTCATAGGACCCTAAATGCCCAAGACACTGCACTCGAGGCAGAAGTGAGAAAAAACTTATATAGTGCTCTAATAAAGCCAAAACAATGAGTATTCTCCTCTGATTCGTTTACCTGTAATTCTGTTAAGTGGCAACCTGTGGAAGAGAGGGTTTCAGGTAGTGAGGAAGAGAGCTCAGTAACGCCAGGACCACGAGAGGAGGTCTGTGTGATGCTGCGTCCTCACAGGTCTCTTTTCTCATTACCAGAGAGAGGATCCGACCTTCACAGCACATCCTGCGGAATATTCCACACTGGTTCACTTTCGTATCAACATGTAGTACATTTAACCTATCATATATCTACAACACCTTCAAGATTCTTTTGTTAGATTGAACTAGAATTATTAAGGAATGTCTTTGATAATACGAGGACCATCACAGACACACAATAATAATAATAATATAAACTTCTGAGTTTCTCTATATATAACCTAGTGAAGCAAGACATTTTTATAAACTTTATCTTGTTTTAGTTAAACGATGGTTAGACTACTATGTTATTATCTGTACGAGGGAGATCTTCATGGTTACTTGTCACCTTCGTCAAGTGTAATCATGGTGTAATAGCACACAAAATGCGTGATAAAAGAATGAAGTTGGTTGTTAGGTAAGACACATATGCAACAGTTAGGTATCTTTATTTCGAAACGTTTCGCCTACACAGTAGGCTTCTTCAGTCGAGTACAGAAAAGTTGATAGAAGCAGAAGATACTTGAAGACGATGTAATCAGTCCATCGCCCTTAAAGTTTTGAGGTGGTCAGTCCCTCAGTCTGGAGAAGAGCATTGTTCCATAGTATGAAACAATATGGAGATGAAGTGACAGGATGGAGCCTTATATAGCGCCAAGAGGTGAGACGTAGGTCACTAGAAGAGGTAAGAACTCAGATGTTGGGAGGTCAGGTCCCTCTCAAATCCAGCCGTTCTCACTAGTAGAAGTTGTCGAAGTTGATTGCAGGTCTGTACCAAGATACCCTTGTGTTGCAGTGTCTGACAGATTGAACATTAAAATGGTATAAAATACCGACAGGTTGTTAGGTAAGACACATATGCAACAGTTAGGTATCTTTATTTCTTACCTAACAACCTGTCGGTATTTTATACCATTTTAATGTTCAATAAAGTTGGTAGATGGATCTATAACTTCCTAGCAAATAGAGCACAAAGAGTAATAGTAAATGGAGTAAAGTCTGAGGCAGTTACAGTGGAAAACTCTGTTCCACAAGGCACAGTACTCGCTCCCATCCTGTTCTTCATCCTCATATTTGATCCAGAGATGGAAGCCACAGCACCGCGTCTTCCTTTGCTGATGACACCCGATTTTGCATGACAGTGTCATCCACCGAAGACACTGCATGACTCCAGGCGGACATCAACCAAATATTTAAATGGGGGGCAGAAAGCAACATAAAGTTCATTGAAGATATTTTTCAATTACTCCGATATAGAAACTCGAGGAAATTAAAACTGCAACGGAGTATAAAACAAATTCCAACTACATAATAGAGCGAAAAATTGATGTGAAGGACCTGTGAGTGAAAATGTCAGAGGATCTCACTTTCATAATCACAACAATGTATCTGCCACATCTGCTAGGACAATGATACGAGGAAAAATGAGAACCTTCAGAACTAAAGATTCCAAGTCCATGATGATTCTCTTCAAATCGCTTGCTCTCTCCAGGCTGGATATTGCTGTACACTAACGGACCCTTTCCAGGCAGGCGAAATTGCAGACCTGGAGATTTGTACAGATAGACATTTCACGGACACACATAAGTACGATAAAGCACCTAAATTACTGTAATAAAAATATGAGTTTGAATTTTGGAACTAGGATCATTTTAGGTATCAAAGAAATCTGAATTAATGTTTTTGCTTCCTCGTAGTGACCAGAGAATTCATGAATCTCGCCCAAGAAGTTCAAGGATTCTTTTTGTCGAGTTTTCGTGAGATGACGACCTCGGTTCCTTGTGCTGTAAGAGCACTTGGTTATCGGAATATAATTCTAACAAAACTGCTTGGAGATTCGTCAGTTAAAAGCCTGAAACTGGTTCTCTATGATCATCACTATGATCATCACTATGATCATCACTATGATCATCACTATGATCATCACTCTATGATCATCACTAAGATCATCACTATGATCATCACTCTATGATCATCACTTATGATCATCACTATGATCATCACTATGATCATCACTATGATCATCACTATGATCATCACTATGATCATCACTATGATCATCACTATATGATCATCACTATGATCATCACATATTCACTATGATCATCACTATGATCATCACTATGATCATCACTATGATCATCACTAATTGATCATCACTCTACCGAGATCATCACTATGATCATCACTATGATCATACATCTATGATCATCACTTCTATGATCATCACTCTATAATCATCACTCATGATCATCACTATGATCTCACTATGATCATCACTCTATGATCATCACTATGATCATCACTATGATCATCACTATGATCATATCATCACTATGACTCATTCACACTATGATCATCACTATGATCATCACTATGATCATCACTCTATGATCATCACTCTATGATCATCACTCTATGATCATCACTATGATCATCACTATGATCATCACTCTATGATCATCACTCTATGATCATCACTATGATCATCACTCTACGATCATCACTATGATCATCACTATGATCATCACTATGATCATCACTATGATCATCACTATGATCATCACTCTATGATCATCACTATGATCATCACTATGATCATCACTATGATCATCACTATGATCATCACTATGCTCATCACTCTACGATCATCACTATGATCATCACTATGATCATCACTATGATCATCACTATGATCATCACTATGATCATCACTATGATCATCACTATGATCATCACTATGATCATCACTATGATCATCACTATGATCATCACTATGATCATCACTATGATCATCACTATGATCATCATCTAACACACTATGATCATCACTATGATCATCACTATGATCATCACTATGATCATCACTATGATCATCACTATGATCATCACTATGATCATCACTATGATCATCACTAGCTCACTAGATCATCACTATGATCATCACTATGATCATCTCTCTATGATCATCACTATGATCATCACTATGATCATCACTCTATGATCATCACTATGATCATCACTATGATCATCACTCTACGATCATCACTATGATCATCACTCTATGATCATCACTATGATCATCACTATGATCATCACTATGATCATCACTATGATCATCACTATGATCATCACTATGATCATCACTATGATCATCACTATGATCATCACTATGATCATCACTATGATCATCACTATGATCATCACTCTCTTAACAACTATAACCAGTAACTTGGCTGGGTTGCAGATCTTGCATTTCACGAGCAAATTGCTTCCCAGATGTTGTGAAAACTTATGAAATCGTAATAACAAGAGTACAAACAAATCAAGGAAAGACTGGACCTTGGACTCTTGGTGAGTGAGTCCTAAAATTCAAAGGACTCTTTTGCCATGGGTTTAAACCCCACCCTTACCGTAATTTAGATAGCTTATTCCATTCGTTAAATATATGAAGCAATATGTGTGATACATGTGTTCATGACTACATAACGTAATTAAAGTAGGATATAACTATTATGAATATCTTCTCCAACAGTGATGGCGCATGTAAGTCAGTATCAACTTGATCTATTATATCCTCCGACATATCTACAGTGTTCTTCTGAATTGGCTTGTCTGGTCAAGAGAGATGTTAGCTTCTCTGCTTCCTCGTCTCCCAGTGTGATTCTTACAGTATCTTTTGTGGGGGAAGTATAAGGTTCTAAATAACATTGTGAGTGTTGTGCAAGAAAGGTATAAAATACCGACAATATGAAAGTTAAGACACATGTGCAACATCTGGGTATCTTTATTGTAGACGTTTCGCCATCCAGTGGCTTTATCAATACAGATTCTAGGACATAATTAGAAGACAGTAGAACTATATACAACAGATGAGGTAATCAGTCCCTCAGTCTTGGAGTTAGTGTTCACAGCATCGTGGTGGAGGAGAATCTGGAGCAAAGACAAAAAGACTGGCGGTTATATAGGTGTCAGTGGATCAGGACGGGCAGCAGACGAGGGCAGTCACTGGTAGGCGGGATTCCCCAGTGGAAGTAGGTCCTACCCAAAGAGATGGGTTAGTTGTATTGATAAAGCCACTGGATGGCGAAACGTCTTCAATAAAGATATCCAGATGTTGCACATGTGTCTTAACTTTCATATTGTCGGTATTTTATACCTTTCTTACACAACTTGTCAGACACTGCAACATCATGGAATCTTGGTTCAGAGGACATCTACAAGACCTTCTTCACGGCTGCTGCAACTAACCCATCTCTTCGGGAAGGACCTACTTCCACTGGGGAATCCCACCTACCAGTTACTATGCCCTCGTCTGCTACACGTCCTGAGCCACTGACACCTATATAACCGCCAGTCTTCTTGCCTTTGCTCCAGATTCTCCACCACCACGATGCTGTGAACACTAACTCCAAGACTGAGGGACTGATTACCTCATCTGTTGTATATAGTTCTACTGTCTTCTAATTATGTCCTAGAATCTGTATTGATAAAGCCACTGGATGGCGAAACGTCTACAATAAAGATATCCAGATGTTGCACATGTGTCTTAACTTTCGTTGTGAGTGTTCTTGTGTTTAACGGTACATAGTGCCGCTAGGTAGTGCCGCTAGGTAGTGCCACTATGTAGTGCCACTATGTAGTGCCACTATGTACTGCCACTAGTT